CCCCAAAACCCCAAAACCCCAAAACCCCAAAACCCCAAAACCCCGCATTGATGGTTTGGATTGGAAATCTAACGATTTTAAAATTCAAATAATAAGTTTAAAATTTCAAATGAAAAACAGCAGCAGTACTCTCCTAAGTGAAAGAAACCAGGAGTCTCTATTCGAACAAGATCAGAGTGAGCCTCAGCAAGTCTACTATTCCTCGATGAATTCCAATGAATACACTTAAGATTTTCCTCAAGAGTCTTTTAAGACGCCTAACCTCAACACTTCTAGCAAATTAGGAGATTTGAAAGATATACTCAGGGATTAGACGAATCAATAGTAATAGTTACAACAATAATAGTAGCAAGCTCTGTGTTTTGTAAGAGTCGACTAAGATTACTTCTTAACACTACTTCAATAATAGCAGAACCAAAAGAGTAAGCAAAATTAGCAAATAGAACAAAATTTGAGCTACTAGCAATTCTGTAACCTCAAAGATTCAAATAAAAATAATGGATTTTAAGCAGCCCTATTCCTTACTCCTCCTAAAATCAACCCTGACTCCATTTAAAACACACCTTCTCCTTTACCTACTGATGCTCAAGGTAAAATCATAATCGGACACCTGCATGGTAGTAACTTAACTCACTAACAGGTCAATCATTAGTCATTAAAAGGTCAAAATATGAATCAACAGCATTATTCTCACTAAAACTTTGATAGTCATAATTCCTACGATAGAATTCAAATATCAGGCCTGAAATCTCCAGAAAGCAATCAGTCTCATAACATTTAGCTGCATAATCATAACTAGAGAAGCAGTGGATAAAATTCAGCCTCAAATTTGCAAGATGACGACTATCTTGGTAATGCTTTATTAATGGGATATGGCGGCATCTTTTTGGGATAAGACCTGCTAAGTATTATTGAGTCCACTTCAAATAGTTCGTCCCCTGCTGGGCATGGATATAGAGTAAATTCAACTGAAAAGATCTAAGAAAAGCCTACAGTGAACAATATCATCATTAACAACTACAATGGAAATGTACTTAAAAACATTACTAATATCGAGCCTTATACCATGAAAAACTAATAACAGGACAAACAGTAGTATTTATACTTCTAGTAATCAGCTACTGATACATTCACTCCTAAATGCGGCCAATAAAATATGCAGCTACCTCCTATTTGCAATAGACAGAGTAGTCATATGAATTATCAATATGATCAAGAGATGACAAAGGAGAACAATATAAACTTTGTTCCATACAAAAGAGATAATTCGCTTTCAGATATCAATAGCTTAGTAGATGGAAATGATAGCAGTTAATAGCCAAAGTATAGAAAGAAGGCTCATGCTGGGCAGGGAAAGGCAGCTAGAAATAGCAGTTAATCAAGCAATGCTAATAGCACAAGTGCTGCTAACACAAATTTCTCCTTCCCAGATGGTGGATGGGTGTGTTCACAATGCCAAAACTATAACTTTAGTGGAAGAGTGAAGTGTAACAGATGCAATAAAGTTAAAACTAAGCAAGACTACAATGGCAAGCCAAAGCATTTATTAAAGAAAGCTACTACTGGACTTTAAGGAGAAGAATAGTAGCTATAACAAACCAATTAGAAAGAAGATCTTGAGATAATCAAACAGAAAAGCAATGAGCAGCAACAATAGTAATAGCAGCTATTTTTGTAATAGCAAATAGCAGAGCAGAATACCTAATCCTGTCTATCATAGTAAATTTTAGAGTCAGCAGCTCAGTTTTAGAGCATGACATTGCAAAACTAGAACTAGCTGAACAAAGAGAATATTAACAGCTAAAATTAGAGCTAGGTTGCAGGGGCAAACTTAGTAAAGAAACCTCTAACAGAGAGAATCGGAGACTGGGTGTGCATGAATTGCAAGAACCTGAATTTTTCCTTTAGAAAAATCTGCAACAGATGCCAACTAGGCAGGTCGCAAGTTGGCAAAATGATCACAAACGGGCAGCAGCAATAACTAGCTCTAGGAGGTGATTAAGTTTACCTTCCTAGTCTGACTATTAATGGGTATTAAGCCTCGCAGGCTTTTTATCCTCAAAATGCAGCTGCTTACATTCCCTTCATGATCAATAAAGACTCCCTTTAGACCAGCAGTCAATAGCAGTAGCAGATGCTGTACTGACAATTCACTCCTCAGTAAAACTATCAATCATACTAAAGCTACGGCAGTCAATCAGTGAGTAGCAGCAACAATGGTAACGCTTACAGTACCAACGTAACTCCCTAAGGTCAGAGTGTGTTGAGTTGTAATCAAAGTAATCCATCCTATTTAAGTTTAAGCGGTAATATGGTTATCGGTAACTAAAGTGTAATTGGAGGCTTCTCCCAAGTAGTCTCTGATTAAGTAAAAGGTCAAGGTATAATCTCCTCCTAAGGAGTTTTCAAAGAGTGTTAAGTCTCGTCAGGGGCAGGGACTGGGACTTTTTCTGCCAACAAAGATGGCAATCCCATGTTCATCCCTTAATGAGATGTAGGTTATAACAAGTGAGAGTTCCAATTAATATTGATTTATACTATAATTTTTATTTATATATTTTACTGTTTCTTTCATACTTACTCCACTTTTAAGCTATATAGCATATCTGGGGTTTTGGGGTTTTGGGG